TTCAGGATCGTCAAGACGCAACGGTAACGGTGATTCGCGGCGTTGAAGTCCCAGGAGTTCTGGCACAGTTCAGGATGTTCAGGCGGTTGCTCTGCGAAAGTGAAACCGTGTAGTGGCCGATGAACTTGGATCTCGGAGGGAGGGCTTATTGCCGTATCGTTGATTAGTCTTGGGTTTACACTGGTCCTCCTCTTCCTCCTCCTCCTCCCTCTCACGTTCCTCCCCTTCCTACCCTTCCCCCCATCCTCCCCCTCCTGGGCCCCTTCTCCCCTTACTCCTTCTGCTCCTCCTCCTGCTCGGAAGAGGAGACATACAAGCAGGTACTTCTGTCAGTGTCGCGTGTGGACATGAAGAGCGTAACCAGCGGCGCGAGGAGCGAGGGGGTGGTGTGCTCAGGGGCCCTGAGCGGGGGGGAACCGGGCGCGATGGCGGCGATACTGGACCCTCGCATGGCGAGCGCTGCGGCGGATCCGAGACAGGTGGCATCCATCGATGAATTCATCGGCTCGCTGCTGGAGGAGCTGGCGAAGGCGAAAGGCACGCCCAGCAAGGCCCTGATGCGCGAGCTGCTCGCCGGTGGCCTGCAGCGGGCTCTGGATATGGGCGGGGTGGCGCAGAAGCAGCGCTTCATGGACGCCCTCTCCGAGCACATCCACCAGTTTCCCATGCAGGAGCAGCAGGCGATCTCCCGGGTATACCCCGTCGAGATCAGCTCAGAGTACCGGAACTTGCAGTCGCTGATCCGGAACGTGGCTCCAGAGGAGGAGACAGGGCCTCGGTCGTCGCCACCGCCGGGCCAGGCGACGCCCCCGGCGCTGAGCGACGCGCCAGCCGCTGTATCCACGGCGCCAACGGCGGCCGCGCCGCCAGCGTTGGCGGAGGCGCGCCGGATCCTCTCCTCTCTTGCCGCGCGGCCTGACTTCGAGGGTGCCGACGAAGCGCTAGAGAGGCTGAGGAGCGAGGGAGTGCTAAAGGCGCTGCAGGAGAGCGATGCCGCGACGGAGGCGACGTTCATGAAGGACGTGCAGATGAGTCTGTACAAATTTCCAGAGCAGGCGCAGAGGGAACTGGTCGAGCGCTTCTCTGGGCTGCGCAAGGAGGCCGCCCGGCTCGTCGAGTCCATGGCACAGGAGGTGACGCGGTGGCTGGACGAGGATCGCATCATCTCGCAACGGGGCGGCGACATGGCCAGCCTCGTCTCGAAGTTGAAGGCGCTCTTCCAGGCCATCCTCAGCGCGCCGTTCCTGACCACCTTCAGGCACTTGGGCGCGGCGGAGAAGCGCGGCAAGGAGGCCTTCCTGCTGAAGACCGCACTGTGCTTGCGCAGGTGTGGGGAGAAGCGCCTGACCGACGCGCCAGAGATCGGGTCGCCAGTGTTACAGCTCCGTAGGCAGTTCTTCTTCGTCGACGGATACGGCGAGCTCATGGAGGACTGGCTGCAGAACCGCCTGACACAGTGCAACGACGACTTCCTCAAGAGGGCAGCATCGGTCATCGGCGGCCGCCTTCCGGCAGTGCAGGCGCGATTCCGGCGCACGTTCCGGCCTGGCCATTGGTTGCCGGTGTCCGACCCGCATTTGCAGGAAGACATATACTCGCTCTTCCTGGACGACTCTTTCCCACGCCACGCGCTGTCCGACGCCTCGGTGGCCTCGGTATTGCGCAGGGTGGCGTCGGCTGGGGGCGGCGACCTGCACGTCTACGCGGGCATCGCACGGCTGCCCCCGCCGAGAAAGAACTACCTCGGGCCTCCGCCGCAGGACGAGGTCGAGGCGGCGCTCATTGAGCTGCTGCTGCGGCTGCCGCCCTTCCGGGCGCTCAAGCGCATTCGGCCCGGCGCCTTCCAGTTCGGCCGCCTCGAGGTGGTGCTGAGCAAGCGGAACGGCAGGCTCTTCGCGAGCGCCCGCGGTGGCAGCGGCACGTCGGAGGAGATGCCCGCCGAGGACTTCTTCGAGCGCTACGGCCCGGAGGAGTTCCCGGAGGCCGCCGCGCAGGCGTGCAGGCCTGCAGGCGCCAACGGGCCAAACTGCACGGTCATCGAGGCAGGCCAGCCACAACTGGGGGAGCTGTGGTCCTTACCCCCCTGGGGGACCCATCGATTTCGACACCCCTCTCGAGAGATCGTCGACGCGATGGGTTCCCCCAGGGGGGTAAGGACCACAGCTCCCCCAGTTATGGCTGGTCGGCGAGGCCCTGGGGGACCTCTTCGGCGCGCCGCCCGGCGCGCCGCCGCCGCTGCCCGCCTTCGCGCCCGGGCCGCCGAGCATGGGCCTGCTGGCGCCCCCGTTCTCGATGCCGGGCCTGGGCTGCGGGGCGACGGTGCCCGCGCTGCCCATGCACCCCGCGCAGATGGTCGGAGGGCGCCAACCCTGCGCAGAGGAACAGAGCATCCCGATCGATGCCTTGTCCTTTGTGTGCTGTTTTGTTCTTTCGGCCGCCTTTTCTGGGCCTCCAGGGAAGCCTTGTTCGCTACGGCTGGAGTCGCTCCGAGATCCAGGGCAGAACGGACCCGGGGAGAGGTCAAGACAGTCTCGGTAGGCCGATCTTGGCCCGGCCAAGGTTGGGCACAGGATCCGCGCAGATGCGATCCTGACCAGGCCAGGGGAGCTATGCACACCGATCCTGTGCCAAGGATGGGCCTGGCCTGAACCAGTGCAGGTGAATGCCCAGATTTCTGACTTCGCGATTTTTCGTGACGCGGGCCCACGGACCTCTCGACCCCATCACAGGGACCCATTTTTGTTCACCCTGGGTAGTTCTGTCACTGACGGCCCTGGAGTCCCAAGTCAGCCTGCTGAGATCTGTTCCAGACAGGCCTTGCACTTGAGGGTTCTTATCCACTTCCCGGTTGGTGGGCATCCCGCGGGCGCCTCGCAGGGCGCCTCGTGCGCTGGGTGGGCGTGCCGAGGTCTCGCCGGGTGCCCGCCCGTGGGCGCCTCGCAGATGGCGCCTCGTGCGCAGGGTGGGCGTGCCGAGGTCGTCTCGCCCGGTGCCCGCCTCGCAGGGCGCCTCGCGGAGGGGGCCTCGTGGGCGCCCCGCCTCGTGCGCCTGGGCCAGTGCGCCGAGGCTTCGCTCGGCGCCCGCCTCGCGGGCGCCTCGTGCTCCGGAGGGGTGTACCGAGGTTTCGCCCGGTGCCCGTCCGTGGGCGCCTCGTGGGCGCCTCGTGCGCTGGGCGGCCGCGTAGATTGCATGACACAGGTGTCACCACAGAGTTAAAATGTTACACAATTTCTCTGTGCCTGCATATATATATATGTATAGATATATATATATATATATACATATATATAGACGTGCGTGCACATAAGCATAGAAAGATTGCATATGCATACTCAGATCACTTATATTCATTCACACCCTATCTTAGCCAGATGCCGTCACGATGTGTTCGAGACGTGGGATGATCGGGTCCTCCCCTCTGAAGCATCGGTCCCCGTACTTCTCTTGGGGTGCGCTTCGGTTTAAATGACTGTGACCCTTCGTACCCGCACCACAACCAGAAACTATGCCCAGGCGAGTTGTCTTGACCTGGGAAGTGCAAGAGCAAACAATGGAGCAAAGAGTAGAACAGCCATTGAAGCTCGGGATCAGCCTGGCGAAATCCAGGAGCAAGCCCAGGAGTCAACTAGAAATGCTTTCGCGGTTCTTTCCATATGAGAGACCGTTGAAATTTCACGTTCGCAATCAATTTCGGGGTTCTCTCGGGGCCATTTTGGAAACCTTTGGGGCTCTCTTGGGGCCTGTCTTGAGGCCTCTGGGCGCCTTCTTGGCAGAGAGGCCTCAGAAACAAATTGGAAGCAAAAATGCCAGAAAACAACAATAGCGTTAAAAGGTTATTGCGTGAATTGGCATTTCGGGGGGGCGTCCTTTGGAGACTCCGGGACCACTTGGAGCCGTCTTGGGTCCGTCTGGGGGCCTCGTGGAAGCATGCCAGAAGCCATTTTGAGCCAGTTCTGAGAAGATTGTGCCATTTAGAGCATGTTGCTCTATCTTGGCCCAAAAGCCTCCCAAGGACGCCTTGAACAGCCCAGTTTCTTCAGATCCTCTTGGAACGCTACTGGGGCATTCTTTGGCGATGTTGGGGCACTCGTGCAGCATGGAAAGCCCCTTCTTGGGCGATCTTGAAGCCACTTCGGCCCTAAACCCAACGGGGAGCAACAAAGAGAGAAACCGAACTATTAGAAAAACGTATAGATGTTTGAAGGATTTACGCGGTTGAGGCTCTGGGCCCATTTGGAGCTGTATTGTGGCCGTCTGGGTACTTTTTGGAGGCATGTTGTGTGCCATCTTGAACCGTCTTGGTCTAACGAGCTGCCTGCAGCAAGTCCCGCCACCGTGCCAGCGCGGCATTCTGGGTTGCGACTATTCGAGGGGGCACGGGAGGCCGTCACGTGTGACACCTCGGGACTCTCGAAGGCCCTGGGTGGGCGCGTTTTGGAGCCTTTTGGAGGCCTCTTGGGGGTTCCTTGGGGCCTTCTGGTAGCGTCTTGGGGGCGCCTCGGAGGCTCTCATTGGGGAGCTCTCCGGGTCGTCTTTGGGACCTCTTGTGGACTTCGAGGGCTGTCTGAGGGCTCACTTGGGCCGACCAAGGGGCTTCTTGGACCTCTCCTGGACCAATATGGAGCCCTCTTGGGCCGTCTTGGGGCCCTCTTGAGGCCCTCGTGGACCGTGTTGAGGCCATCCTGGAGGCCTCTTGGACCGTCTTGGGGTGACAGGTGAAACTGCGAGCACTACAGAAAATCAGTGATTGTGGCCTCTTCGGGCCCTGCTGGGGGTTCTCTTGGAGCCCTCTTGGGCCGTCTTGCGAGCCTCTCGGGCGGTCTTCCGCCCGTCTTGGGGTAATTTTCGGTTGTCGTGGAAGCATATTGGGCCACTTTGGCGGCCCTGGTAGCCTGCCTGGGCCGTCCTGGAAGCCACCTTCGGTATCCTGGAAGCTCGGCAGGGCGCCTAGGAGGCGTCTGGCCGCCCGCAGAGCCAAGGGGGTGCATGCATCCCGCTGCGAGTAGAGGTGGGGGCTGCCTTAGAAGATGACACCAAAAAAACTACCAGGCAGCACTCGGTCCTCTGCCACACCTCAACGTGCAAGGGGGGCACGGTGGCGAATATGTTGCGCCATCTTGGACGTCACCTCTGGGCAGGGGTAAACCCGCCCCGAAGGGGAAGGGGGCGGCTGGAAAACTATGTCTGTTTAGACCACCTGCACCCACCCGCGCCCAGGGGCAGTGGGGTTCCGAGGCCAGTCCAACTGTGGGGCTACGAGGGCGCCCCAGGATGGGATGCCACCCAAAAAAAAACAAGAGCGCCCAGACACCTCGGATCAGTCGGCGCCTTCCAGGTGAGCGACACAAGTAAACGAGGTCGTCTTCACCGACATCGGCACGTAAGCTACCCGTGCAAGGTCGCGGGTACGCGCCCTCATTTCCAGTTTGGAGTGCCGCGCTGGCAGCCTGTGTAAGCCACCGCATAAGGTCGCTATGCCATCTCGTGTAAGACCACAGTCCACAAAATACAATCGGCGCCACAACCGGTTGGACTGAGCAGCCCAAGAGGAGGAGGAGGAGGAGAAGGACAAGGTTATCCGCATAAAGGGGGTATAACGTCAGAGCACCTACTCGGAGCATCTACGCGCTATTGCCAAAATCCCTTGCGATTTGTTGTGCAGCAGCACTGGTTTCTCACTAGGGCCAGCAGGGGGCATACCCCGCAGCTCAAGGACCGAGCTCCGAGGTGGCCCCGTAAGAGAGGCTCGCTACCTTACATCACGAGTCCCTTCGGGTCAGTGCGGGGGGAGCAGCTGCTGGTCCTTCCGCGTGCCCAAGGCGAGGGGACGCGCGGGCTTAGCAGGACGCCCAAGCCAAGGGGCAAGGAGACGACGACGCGACCTCAGAAGGAGGAGAGGGGGGGAGACGGAAGGCCCGAGACCCCAAGCTGTTGCTGGGGGGGGGGCTGCTGCCTCTACAGTTTCAATTCCGTGCTCCCTGCTCCCGCTCGGCTCACTTCTCGGCCCTTCCGATAGATGCTCCGTGTATTGTCACATATGTGTTCTGGTACCCCGTGAAGTAGCCCAAGATTCCCCCTCGGAGCGTGTGAGGTAGAGCATAGTGGAAGTCACGGTCATAGGTAGGGCCAATGAGGAGCACATTGGTGGACTTCTTGATGATCAGTTTGTTCGCCTGCACACCCTGCAGTAGTGTACCTGATGGCACTCAAAAAAATACTTCCCATTGCAATGACGATGCAGGCGCACTGCTGTGCCCACATTCTCTGTCATGAGTTGCACTCCGAGAAACCTCGCTAATGCTCTTCCTGACTGTCTGTGGGCACGGCCAGATCGCTCCTTGCTTAGATGAGCACTCCGAGAAGCCTCGCTAATGCTTCCTCTAGGCGAACCTGCAGGCTCCAGTGGGTGCGCTCACTGGTGGCCGCTTGAGTTGGCCGTCGTCGTCTCCTCCGAGTTAGGGTAGTCGAACTTATCCGCGAAGATCTCGGTGCCATCCAGCATGGTTCGGGTGCTGTCTTTTAGCTTCTGGCGTTCCTTCAGCCTCTTCACTTCTTTTGGGTCCATGCTGTCGTCGTTTTTTTCATATCCCCCATGGCAACCTTCCTGACTTTGCGGAGGTCCTCTTAGTCGTTCTTCGCAATCTTCAGCGCCAGCTCGCACCAGCTCTGCACAGTGAAGGCCATCTTCCCTGACCTCTCCAATTGGTCCACTGGGTACCTTGCGATGAGGTCGCAGCCTTCGATTTTGCGCGTCATCGGAAAGGACAGTGGGAGCACATCGAATAGCTCCTCTGTGCTCATCTTCTTGGCCGCGTCGAAGAACTCGTACTGGCACTCCTCGATGGCGTCGTCGAGTTGCTGCGGTAGCCTTTCCGCAATGAACGCGTGCCACGCGGTTCCCACCCTAAGCTCCACCACCATCGATGGCCCGCTCTTGAACGGGAAAAATTTGCACGCGCACCCTACATTTGGCCATTTTATTCGCAGTTTGGTCCAAGCGTTTTCTTCATCGTGTTCACCCCCTCTGCCAAGAGCACGTCATTTGGGTGGTTATCCTGCGCCTTCCCCAGCTGCAACCAGTCCACCCTGCACCAGAACTGCCACGTCTCGCTCCTCGAGTGGGGACCTGGGCCTCTCCACCACAGCTTGTTCGGGAAGGCGAGCCCGCGCGAGCAAGCTCATCCTCCCTTATCGCCCCGCCCAGTGCCCCTCCTGCATACGTTGAACAACTGCATGTTGTCGCCCCACTTGTCCGCGAAGTCCAGCGCCTTGAGATACCCCGGTTGCTGCACACCCTTTTCCTTCGCCATCTTGTAGTCGCCCATCCCGTGCATCTCTATCCCTCTCTCTCT